AGTAACAGGTGCCTTACTAGTAGTAACAAGAAGCTACTAGGAACAAGCGCCTTACTACTAGTAACAACAGCAAATGTTCAAACAGTCCGTGCAATTGACGGTTGCTTGCCTTTGTGGCAGGACAGGATGACTGCAAGGATCAAAACCAGCCTATGTCTTGATATGTCTTGAGTAAGCCCCCCTTTCTTTTTGCAACGGCTTCTATCTGCTCCCGGTAGAGCTTGGACAGTCTTCTCACAACGAAACTTGAAGGAACCAGTGACACTTCAAGGCGTCAAAACTCAATCGCTGAACACCACACACAACGCACACCTATCTTGCTTGGCAAGGATAGGTTTGGCAGCTGCCACCATCAATTGTCATGTGCAAACCCGGCAGGTTGGCATCTGTCTTTGGAAGATGATTTAATTATATAAACACCCCATTGCCGTTGCTATTTATTCAACTCATTGCCTCGATGGCCGAGCAATTGTGCCGTGGTGCTGCAGCCTAAAGAAAGGATTCCCGCCGTCATGGCAATTTCATTTGAAGTGTTGTGCTTGAGGCTTCCAAGCACAAAGAGCATGTCTATGCCTGCTGCAAGCGAATTCAGCTTGGTGCATATGGATGAGAATAGGTTCACTCACAAGGGAAATGCAAACGAGCAAAGCCTCATGCTTCCTCCTTCTGCGCGGCCTATGTGGCTTCTGCATGCAAGATTTCCAACATCCAACATCAACCCAAAATCACTAGCCTTCTGTGCTTTTTGCACTTCTTTCGCCTTTCGCTCCTCAAATTCGAGCCAGTATTGATGCCATGCTCCAATAACAAAAAGGTTCCCAAGACAAGAGGCTAGCTTTCGCTCTTTTAAGGATCGTACATCTTCTGCCTGCTGCATGGCCGCCTCAAGCTCCTCTACAGGCATTCATTCGAGGCTTTTAGACAACAATGAAGCTTACTCAAATGCTTGTGAGAGACGAGCATCCGCAGACCAATCCCACAGACCAATCGTGTTGTTACGAGGAACCTCTCAATCAGAAAAGGAGGGGCAGCAAAGGGCATGTACAGCCAACATCCGTAGAGCAAAGGCGACTGTTCAACCGCATACGCTCGTGCATGTGTGCTTAACGGCCTTAATTAACAGCCTTCGAACCTGGACTTGCTGAGCGACAGCATTCTCAAAATATTTTAGCGCATGCTTCCGGATATAGTGGCCATCTTTCATTGGGGCCACAACTGGCTACGGCACGCTGTCACAAAGAGAAAACTCGGGGAATGATGCAGCGTGGGACAGCAAAGGGAACACCTTGGCTCCATATGTGTCCTGACAGTCGCCATCCAGCACCCACCCTGAATTGATAGCCCCTTCCCTAAGAAACACTGACACCAGAACCCGCGCTCAGGAAAACATGGCGGGAAGAATGCAGGCTGACTGCAAATCTTATCCTGAAAGTTGAGACATCTGCAAAGGCTCCTTGGCACGCTGTTGAGCATCTGCACCCAGCGCCATCCTAGCCTTCTCACCAAAAGAGTCAAGGGCTCGTAAAGCCGCCTCAATGGCACAACTGATGGGAGACATATTGGAGGCCAGTTAAGCTGCCTGACTTGATGACATCCTTCCAAAGGGAATGGAAAGTGTTGGTTCTGCCACAGTGCTACAGCTGCTATTGCATTCAAGCTACCTTGGCACGTTCCTCCGCATCATCTGTAAGCACCTTCACATTACCGCATAATCCCTCAACAAATGCCGGGAGGTGCTGGCACCCCTATTTACCATTCAATGAACAATGGCCTTCCCCAGCAAGGTGGCCGCTGAAACCATAGTCCGTCGATAAGGTTCTGACCTTCTATAAATCAAAATCTGTTGAGTCAATGCATTTTCAACCAGCTGAGCATAGTGCATCACAGGGTCGAGACACAGCGACATGTGAAGGGCACGCGACCTTGTCAAAGACTGGTTCAGGCGATGGTTTTGGGCCAGTCTCTGAGGCTCCTGCACATTCTTCAATTGTCCATTTTGACCATTCTCCTCGTTCTTGGCGGCTTCTGCAGCATACCAATCCTGCGCAGATGTCTGCTTGACTCGACAGTTTCAGCCGCAACACCTGCTGCCTGCATGTCTTTGCTCACTCCCGTTTCTGCCAGGTGAATGTAAACCTGCAGAAGGACAAAAACTCAGCAAAAGAGTCAGGTGCTCTGCAAGGTCCCCTGCAGAGTGTGATCTCAGGGTGGCGAATCAATGGGCGACAACTGCAAGGAAAGGCCCAACCATGAAGAGGACTACAGCCCCTGCTGGTGCAGCCCAGCTACATCTTCTACATGAACCCGACAGTCAAGCTTGTAAACCGCAACAACCAGTCACCCATGAGCTACGGGTCAAGCAGGGACGAAGCCAGCATTGAACTGTCCAATCACATTTGCACTCTGCTCCAGCGAAAATGCTCGCGACTTTCAGCCGAGAAGCTGCAGTCTCTTCAAAGTTCAAGTTGTTTGCCAAGTGCTGAATTCCGGCGTCGGTCAAACCTTGGCCTGAGTTCAGGAAATCGTCTTGAGTCGCTTGTCCTTATGATAGACCGTTCGCTCAGCAAAGGGCAACCGGTCAAGTCGAGTTTCAGCTCTTTCAGCTGCTTTGGCAGGGCCTACAGCACCACCATACACGCTGTGGTGGTTCAGGAACCAGCTGCTTCAACCCAAGTTGCGCCTGCGCAAGCAGCTCTACATCTTCGTCCTTCATTGCAGAGCACCTGGGTGGCTGGGCACATCAAGCAGCAAAGATTCAGTAAGCCAGTCAGCCTCAGGTTCAGAGTGAGCTCGATCAAATTCGGTGGCAAGCTATCCTGGCGCTGACAAGTCATCTGGACTCTGAGTTCATGCGCATGCAAAGTAGATCACGGAACAAAGTGGACAACTTTATACCGTGCAGGCAAGAGTCTGCAAGCATGTGAACATACTCACTGCTGAGGCCTGATCCAACGGTCAGGATACTGAGTCTTCACCGGCTCGGATAGCCACCAATCCCATGCTTGCAGGATCTTGCAGAGAGCCACGCCTTGCACATGCATAGCCAGGGATCTTCTTCTAGCATCCTCTTGAATGCAGCTCAAGGCCTCGGTGTAAAATCTGAATCGAGCGGTAACTGACACTACTAAGGTATTGCCAGAATTAGCATATCAGTGAAAGCACTTCACACCTTTGCACAGGCAAACCATCTGGGAAGTAGCACCTTTGCAACCCGCTTGGTTGGTGGGCCTCTGGCGTCCTGTGGCGTGCTTAATTGTCGTCATTTATACAAATGATGTGATGTGGTTAGCTCGATGTCCTTGTCAGGCCTGGCAACTCTGGGCCAAAACGCCTTGGACATGAAAACCCATTGTCGACAAGCGACAGCTGACAGTCTCCTCCGTCTGATAGCAACTTGGCACTGAAGGTGAGATCCGAGCTGTGGCCAAGCGCGCCCGCAGTCGGGCCTCCGCATTCTCCAGCTTCCGTTGTTCCTCAAGCATCGCTAGCAATGCGAATTGGGCTGAATCCCGAAGTGCTACGGCTGCTAAGGAAAATCATTCGCACCTCCCGGTCGTACCTCCAAGGTTTACAAGAATGGCAACATGAGGAACCACTCAAGCCTAAAGCTGATTTCATTAAAGGGACCTCTTAAGCCATGTCAAAGAATTGCAACAAAGCACTCTTCAAGTATCTTTGTGCTTTGAATTTTCTCAGCAGTCCACGAGGCAATGCTGTGAAGAATCAACTTCTTGTCCTCCTCTGACCATGCCTGGCCAAGGTATACTGAAAGGGGGTTCAAGAAGCACAACTAGTCCGTGGCATTCATGGAAGTAGAAGTGAACACTTGCTATCTTCACCATCCTACAAACACTAATGCCACATGAGTTTGTCCTGCACGCTCTGCACTGGTCACGTGTGCCACATAAGCAAGCATCTCCTAGTTTTGGTGTTTGTCAGCATTGATTCTACCAGACTGGCCGCTCCTCGGACTTCTCAACCTGCACTCCCAAGCCTGACAGTGAAAAAGATGGAAGCAAACTAAACAAACAACCCATCGCTGGGCCCACACCGAGTCCACACCAGGCCCACCTGCTTCTGCAATCTCCATGGGAAAGTTGGCCTCCCTTGCCAGTTTCGCCCTCACTCCATGGCCAGGCCGCTGGGTCTCCATCTTCTCCTCATCCTCTGTGAGGCCATGCGTAATGAGCTCCGCTGCAAAGCCTTCAGGTGAAATTGTCGGACCTTCCGACAGTCCAGGTTGGCACACTAAGTTCAGAGCCGTTGATGCAAGCGACGTCCACCATTGCTAAGTTGGTATCTACAGTCATCGCTGTCTCGTACAAGCCTCATTTGCTGCATCCATGCCCCGCAGCAATTTGTAGCTTTTTAGGAATGGCTCAGCGTCGGACACCATGCCCGCTTGAAACATGTGGCCTGCACAAATTCGCATGAGCTATCATGAGCTCAATTTGACCCCAATTTTTGCCACCGCCTGCTGGTCAATGATGAGCAACAGCTTGAACTTGCATGTCTCCATCGGTTTGTAGAACAGCGCCTTTTGAGGTGCGGAGTGGCGGCACCCCCCAAGCGAACGTCCAAACATTCGGTAGCTTGCGAGGCTATGCGGTTATGTTGCTTAACTTGAATCCTGCCTGTGCCGGGGTCTCACAGATTTCGCCTGAGCACCAAGCCACCAGCTGTGTCTGAAAAACCTTTCTTGCAATCTTGCGATTGAACGTTCGCAATAACTTGATGTCCTGAGCTCATAGCTGTGCTTCTCATGAAGTCTGCAGGCAAAGGCCCAAATCCTCCAGCCACGAAGAAGAGTGGCTCAGACAAGGGCGGTATGCGATTAGTTTTTGGTTAATTTTGTGCGGGTTGGTATTTGGAATCGTGAGCTGAAGCGTGGCTACAAGCAACAAAACCACCACAGCAAGAGGGACCATGTTCCCCAAAAGCAGGAAGTCGGCACAAAGGTTTTTGTCCAGGTGTCTCACACTGGCACATCCTGTGCCGGCTAGTTTGTTGGACGTCAACCAGCTGTGGTGTGGACTTGACAGGCCGTGCTGTGCCCGGTGTGAGGCAGGGCGGACTGACTGAGAATTGTTGGACACCTGACGCCGCCATGCCCCGACGCATGGCATTCAGCATGGGAGGCTCGGTGGTAGCAGTAATTTATCACCTTTGACTTGCCTCTGGCTCAAGGGCGCATTGTATACCCGCATGTGTGGAATGCAACCAAGTCGCACTCAGAGAAAAATATTGCGGTTTTGAGTCGTCCTCTACTGAAAGAATCCACTCTCTTGGCTTTGCTTCAATGCTGGCATTAGACGGTCCAGTAAGAACTCTCCGTCGTGAACCCTCTTGTGGCCACATGCTTGCCCACACTCTCTGCGAAGCCCTGCACCTGCCAGTCTCATGTCAAGGAACAAATGATTGTATTACAGCTTCTTGTTACGAAGTAGCTTCTAGTAGCTTCTTGCTCCTAGTACTGTGGCCAGGAGCCCCTAGTAGCGTCCTTGCTCCTACTAACAATGCCCCTTGCTCCTAGTAGCTTCTTGTTAATGTATTGTACAATATGTGAACCGCAATTTCAGCTGAGGTTTTGGCCGGTGACCCCCACCAGTGGCTTACAAACCAGGACTGAAGCACGAGGCGCAGTGTGCTCTCGCTCTCTCTCTCTCTCTCTCTCCATTTTGTTCTTTCTTTTTCTTTTCTTTTTCCTTCCTTCCTTTCCTTTCCTTTCCTTTCCTTTCGTTTCGTTTCGTTCCGTTGCGTTCCGTTTCCGTTTCCGTTTCCATTTCCGTTTCTTGTCTTTCTTTCTTCCTTTATTTATTTCTTTCTTTCCTTTCCTTTCCTTTCTGAATTTCTTTCTTTTCGTTTCGTTTCGTTTCATTCGTTTCCTTTTTCTTTGCTTAACAATGTTTCTTTATTTTCTTGTCTTTTCTTTCCTCTTCTTTCGTTTCGTTTCGTTTCGTTCCGTTCCGCTTCCTTTCTTTCTTTTCTTGTCTTTTCTTTATTTATTTCTTTCGTTCGTCCTTGCTTTCTTTCTTTCTGTCTGTCTGTCTGTCTTTCTTTCTTTCTTGCTTTCTTTCTTTATTTAATTTTTTTTTCTTTCTTTCTCTCTCTCTCTCTCT